TGCCCACCCGCACAGCCCACCCACCTAAAAGTGCACCCACCCACACCCACACAGAACCCCCCACAACCAGTCCACGCATTGGGGACCACTGAAGCAAAGGACTACTCCATGCAGTGCCTCCTTGTGTCACAATAAGGTACTGCATGTTTGCCAAACTACAGTGATGCCCCGTATAGTGACGTTAATCCGTTCCGGATTAATCGTCGCTATGCAAAAACATCGCTAAACGGAACGTAAAAAGCCATAGGAACACATTAAACTTCATTTAATGTGTTCCTATGGCTCCAAAACTCACCGTTCAGCGATGTTCCTCCATAGCGCCGCCATTTTCACGCCCTCGGTAAGCGAGGGCAGGGCGCGAAAACACTTGTGGCGGCCATTCTGGACACCCGGCAGCCATTTTGGAACCGCCAACCAGCTGTTTAAAAAACATTGCAATGTTTAAAAAACATTGCAAGCGAAACACTTACCGATCATAGCAATGCGATGTTTTGCCTATACAGAACATCGCAATGCAATCGCATTAGCGATCTAAAAAATTAGATCGCTATGTGAATTCGTCGTTAAACGGTGCGCTCGTTATGCGAGGCACCACTGTAATTCCCACATCCAGTTGGCTTTGAGGACACTGCAACCCAAGTTCCTCTTAATAAAGAGGTGGAGTATATGTGGCCCTTCCGATCCTGGACAACTGCAACTTCCAACAACCCCAAGCAACAAAGCCAATGATGAGGGATGACTGAGGATGCCATCCAGCAACACATACACTCCCACCCCACTCCCTATTTGAATGCCAAAACTGTGATTCCTACATGATCTTGTTCAATCCCAAGCAATCTCCTCACTTGGTGACCTCCACATCCAGCCTTGCCATCTTTATTTCATCCCTCTACACCCCACCCCACAGCAGGTCCTTACAGCTGCGGCCCGCCAGTGCAGTTGGTTTTGTGGTGGATGTCATTCCAGGTGATGACGTTGGCTCGGCCTGTAGTCATGGAGGTGCCGATGGTGAAGGTGAGCCGTTGGTCAAAGGCTTTGCGGAACAGAGCCAGCACCTTGTTACCTTCGGGGCAGTCGGGTAGGTAGGCCACACGGGTGGTGCCTGGGTAGCGGACTCCAGGGTTAGGATGTTCCACCTGCAACAGTGGGTTGAGGAACGGCAAGAAGAACACATCCGTGGATTAGAAGGCAAGCTGCTTACAAAGACAGAAACACTGCAATGGGAAACACCTTCCCTAACCTTGAGCTCACCAGCTACATCTTGGTACTACCCAACTTCTGCTAAGACAGTCTTCCTAATCTGGCGCCTTCAAGATGTTTTGGACTATAACTTACCACCATCTTCCAACCAGTACAGCTAAAAATTTGTCAGGCACCAGAAAGGGGATGGAGGTGGCTAAGACCTCACAATCTCAGTGAAATGTCAAATTTCTGAGAACGCGGAAGCCATGGGAGGAAAGAGTTGCCAACAAAGTAGCTATGCTAGTCTGTCACAGCAGATTTGCAAAAGTAGAGGGGAAAGAGGAAAAGAAAAAGTGGAGAGCAATTTAAGGAACTGCCGATTAATTTCAATGCGATTTCGTAGATCAAAGTATCAGATTTTCTACTGTGAGCAAAGAACACAGACAAAGGAAAACACCAACAAATGATTTTTTTTCAAAGCTCTATTCAAAGTAGACCAAACTCAACAATTTAAAAAGTATTTTAAAAATTAAATTAACTTATAATCTACATCAGGCTTTAAAATTGTTATTGTTTAAATATTCTTTTTTTAAAAAGGCCTATGTGGTGGTTGTTTTAATTTAAAATGCATTACAGTTCAAAGATCCCATTAAGGATTACTAGTTAGAAATTCTAATTCTGTATTATGAGACAGGGGTTGAAATCCTGTTGCTTAGCAAAGTAATTCACAACTAGAGCAGGTTCAGTGAATTAGTGGGGATTTGTTGAGTCAGCTCCTCCATAAGCTCCAGTAACTGAATTTTATTTAAACCAAAGTGATCAAACTCATCTTTGAAATCAAGCTTTAAATCCTTTGTCAAGGATTTAAATTGCTACTCAGATGCTTTTGGTTTAATAATGGTTTAAACTCTTGCTAGTTATAACTTTAGTACAGTACAGTGGTGCCTCGCAGAACGAGCGCCCCGTAGAGCGATGAATTCGCTCTACGGTGACGCTTTTGCGATTGCTAATGCGATCGGAGAGCGATGCCCCCAATGGGCGAAAATCGCAGAGTGAAGGTCGGTAAGCGGTTCGCTTACCAACCTTCGCTTTGCGACCCGCCGATCAGCTGTTCCGCGGCTTTAAAAGGGCCGCCGGAACAGCCGAAATGGCGGGGCGCAGCGTTTTCGCGCCCTTGGTAAGCGAGGGGAGGGTGCGTTTTTTCGCTGTGCAATGATCGCTAAGCAGTTCGCTTAGCGATTTTCGCACAACGAAGCGGAGGAGAACAGCTGATCGGCGAAAATGGCCGCCCCTATGGAGAAGCTTCGCTCAACGGTAAGTTTAGGGCCCACTGGAACGCATTAAACCAAGTTTAATGCGCTTCAATGGGTTTTTTCGTTCCGTTGAGCGATGTTTCCCATAGCGAGGGTTAATCCAGAACGGATTAACCTCGCTATGCGAGGCACCACTGTATATGGATTCCCCCCCCCCCATAATATGTACTTTCAGACACTGGGAGTTACAGTGAACAGAAGGATGAATCAATATTGGCAAGCAGACTGAGAAAAATACATGTTAAGATTATAAAAAGGAAAGGTGCATTTAAGAGTGGCGAATTGTATGATTTACTCCAAGTCCACTGTACTCCCTGCCAAAGACTGCAGATTCAGAGAGGTAAGGACATGATTTTGTTTATACAAAGTTGCAGAGGAACATCAGCTATGCCTGCCAGTCAGAAGGAATCAGCATCACTCAAGGAAATGACTGAAAGCAATGCTAGAGATTCTAGTAGGCTTCCAAGAATCCTCCTGTGGAACCCCATAAAATTTAGACCCAATGCAACAACTGTTTGACCCTATTTATTCCGCATCTCCAGAATTGCTTCAAGGAACTGTGAAATTAAGATGTATGTTCTGTTCATTCTACAGTACTAATAAAACACTGAAAATAGTCTAAAATAAGAATCATGTGCCATCAAGTCAATCCTGACTTATGGTGACCCTTTCCAGGGTTTTCTAGGTAAAGAATACTCAGAAGTATTTTCCGTCTTCTTGGGGGTGCCCTGAGACTGCCCAAGGCTACACAGGCTGGCTCTTCTCCCAGGAGGCACAGTGGGGAATCGAACTCCCAACCTCTGGCTCCACAGCCAGACACCTAAACCATTAAGGTATCGTTTACATATATATATATTTTAGGAATATCCAGAATGTTTCTTGTTTATTCTAGAAAAAGTGGCAGAATATGCTAGCACATCAGCCTTGAGTCCCCATCATTTTCCTCTGGGAATCCTTATTGTGAGGCCCTTGGGCCCTCTCCCTTATTTGCTAAAAACCATTCATTCATATTTGTTTCTCTCACTGATTTCCCTTCCCCCCCTTCTTTTGTCCCTTTTTCTTATCAAGCTGTAACCCAGAGGGCATTTCCACAGCCCTACCAATCCACAGCAGGAAAAATGGGTGCTGAAACAACTGGACATGATATGAAGGTTGCCTCAAGGTGATTCTACTGGGTTTCCCCCGAGAGTTATTTTTATCCCATACCTTTCCTAAAAAAACTGGTTCTCTTTGCTGGTCATCTGATGTATTTTGTAAAAAAAAAAAAACAAATAGAAAAATACACTTGAGAAAGAAGAGCAGGTTTCTACAGATAGCATATTTACTTGTTTTCCTGGGTTCCTGGCCATGTAACACTTCAGCACTTTTACATACAAAAGCTACAGCCCTTTGCACAGTGAGTTAATCTCTGTCATCTCTAGTTAAAAGATCACATAAGATGGGCTAAGACAGATCCTGTATCTGAGGCACAGAGATGCACTTCCTAGGTAGACAAATATTGGACTCTTATCAGTCTTCCCAACCCTGGTGATAAGGACTATATTGGATTACAAATCCTATCACTCACTCCCCCCCCACTCCAAATAGCATCTCAAGGAGCCATATGGGTTGTGTTGACAGGAATTTGGGGGCAACTGTAAGGTACCAGGTTTGAGAAAACAGGGTCAAATAAATTCATTAGTTTGACCTGCTGGAAGGCATCGCCCTGTATTCACTACAAACAGCTTTCTTTTTAACTTTCTACTGTGCCAATTTTTACATTCGTTGTGCAACTTAAGTTAGAAAGAAATGTTCTTGGCTTGGGTCTCAAACTTGCCTTGGAAAAATGAAAACACTACGCATGTATAGTATATGTTGCTGGTTTCCTCCCTCCAAACACACAAAAGGAATTTCTGCCTCGTGGCATCAATCCTGCCTGTCCTTGGACACTCCGAACAGTATGTCGGGATGCTTTAATGGGGCAGCAGCAACAGCACCCTCCACTTCATGAGGAAATGCTTCTTCTACAAAGGGCAGAAGGGATGGAAGCTATCTATGGAACTAGAAAACTGTTATCTTTTGAAGACAGAAAGGACATCAAGAAAAAGCAGTCAGGACTAAGAAAGTTGCACAACGAGTTTTGCATGCCACAAAGTTCTTCCTTATGGCTTGAGTTTCTTGAAAAACAGCCTATCTTGCCACATAGTAAAACCTTCTGAAACTTGGGGTAGGGGGTGGACTTTACTTTAAAAAAAAAGTTGAAAAGCTCAGATGGAAACTTTGAGTGATGGCAAGAACACCTTTCTTCCAAGGTGGCGTCCATATATTTCCTTTCTCTTCTGTGCCATTTTATCCTCACTGCTATTTCATATGGAGGTTGAACTGAGAGGTAATGACCAGTTCAAGACTGCCCAGTCCAGGGAAACTGAATTTGTATCTTCTGATCCTAATCAAACACTCTAAAATGACTAGACCATACCAGTTCTCATATAAAAATGGAACATATAAATATAATCATCACCATCTTCTTCAGTTCAAGACTGCCCAGTCTAGGGAAACTGAATCTGTATCTTCCTCATCCTAATCAAACACTTTAAAATGACTAGACCATACCGGTTCTCATATAAAAATTAAACATATAAATATAATCATCACCATCTTCTTGGAACAAAAGGGCTGGAAGACATCCTATGCTTCTTTTGTTTATTGTCAATTTAAGACATGAGGATGGGATGGGAGCAAAGCCAAACAAGGTCTTCCTCGTCCATATGTCTCATATATTTAGCATCTAAGTAACACATTTCTCGCTGCTTACTCCTATAGAACTCTGAAATCACCAGGTGAACCATTTGAATCCTCAAAAGGGGGGTTGGGGGGTGGGCAGCCTTCCTCTACCTAGTGCCTCCCTTAAATGTTAGATTACAGCTCCCATCATCCGAAATAGTATAGTGCCATGAGGGCTGAGCTAGCCCAGCATACAGAGGATGCACTGATGCCCTACAAAGCCAGCACAAGGTATGTTATGGTCTGAATCCTGTTGGTCTTCCCAAGAAAATTCCACAAAACCTAATGGGACCACGTACACGGGACTGCAGCCAGCCAAATACATTAATCGAGGATGGCAGCTCATAAGAACAGAAGGAGGTCCAAGCTGGCCGGAGTACTTGCAGGTAAGCGGCAGAACTGTCACAAAACGGTTCCCCTAAAAGAAACAGGTGGCAGGTTTACTATCAACTAATGGTATTCTTCAGTAGATTTCCCACCCCAAATGTTTACTGACATTGCTCTCTGAACTTTATGATGACAGGTAGTTGACAAGTCTCTCACAGTCCGAAGCTGAGGAGATCTAGTACTCTCCAGACTCTCCAGCCTACCCATAATCTCTTAACCATTGGGTATGTTGATTGGGGCATGCGTGAGTTGCCATCCAAACAATCTGGTGGGCACCGTGTGTGTGTGTGTGTGTGTGTGTGTGTGTGTGTGTGTGTGCGTGCGTGCGCGTGCGTGTGCGTGCATGTGCTGTGCATGTGTGTTGGCCAGTGGTTCACAAACCGTTTGAACTCCGAAGCTGAGGAGATCTAGTACTCTCCAGACATTTGAGCCTACCCATAATCTCTTAACCACTGGGTATGTTGGTTGGGGCACATGTGAGTTGCCGTCCAAAGAACCTGTTGGGCACCGTCACCACCACCGGCTCAGCAAAAAAGCGTGCATGTGCTGTGCATGTGTGTTGGCCAGTGGTTCACAAACCGTTTGAACTTGTGGCTCCTCTGAGCAGCGGCAGGGCAGGAGGTGCGACAAGGGATGTGGAGCACAGCAGGAAGCAAAGAAGCCCAAAGGAGTTGAAACTGGGGCCAGAAGAACAGCAGGAGCAGTACCGTCACCACCACCGGCTCAGCAAAAAACAAACAATTAGGCACAGTACACTGTTGTTCATCATATCCATCTAACCAGCAGGAAGAAAAGGGAGAAGCAGAGGCTAATGATCAGGAAAGTTCAGAGGAGGAGAAAAAGGGGTGGCAGAGAGCAGGTTGTGAGACGGACATGCAAATATTTGTTTTGGAGGCCGGGCCAATAAGCGCTGGTTGATTCGCTGTCTGCATGTGTTTCCTCCAGGCATTTTGGGGGGTGTTTGTATTTGGGTGGGTGGTTGTGAGTGGAGCATTTTCTTGGAAGTATTAGCTGTTTGCCTTCTGTGAAATGGGTCTTTTCTTAACACATTCTGGCAGCATATGTGTGATTTGATGTTTTGCGCTCAGACCTCCTCTTCTACCTGGTAGCCAGTTTCTTGGTCAAGTTACTTGCCCAGGCCTTTTCGGTTCACTTTCTGTGAAACGAAAGTCGGAGCAAGAAACAGTAGTTCAAAGGAGTGCTTCTGTGTTCTGGAACTCCAGCGCCATCTTTGCCTTTCACTTACCTGTCTGGGCCAGTGGCTTCTATTTTAGTCTCCCCATCTTGCCTTCCTGAGAAATGGGTATTTTGTGTGTGGCAACACACCAGATGGTGGCTTTTTTTTGGGCAACTCATCACTCACCCATGCGGCAACCATTTTGTATAGATGACGCTCACAACATCCCAAACGCACCAAGTTTAAAAAAAAGAAAAAGGAAAGAACACAAAAATAAAGACAGGAAGATTGACTCAACTTACTCCTTGTATGCCAGGTGGGAAGACATACTGGATTATGATGGTACCATACTTCTCATAACCAGGAAGCAGCAGACTCGAGTCCTTGGAGACCAGCATGCGCCCATTCTCTGGCTGGTTGCCCACCAGCTGCCCATAGAAGCGCCCGCACATCGGGCAGGCTTTCTTGACCTGCAGGGCCCGAGTGATACAGTCCTCACAGAAGGAGTGCTTGCACTTCTCCAGAGTCTTAATGTTCTGGATCTCCCCCAGGCAGATGGGGCACTGGCTGTCCTGCTCTTCCTCCCCCCCTCCCCGCGAGGAGCTCGCCACTCCTCCGCTGCTGCCCCCGACCAGACCTCTTGGCCCCGAGGTCTGCTGCCCTCTGGATATCAACCCGGCCCCGCGGCGGTGAAGCTCTACTGCCCCGTGCTCCCGGTTCTTCTCCATGAGGGCCATGCAGCCCATCAGCTCGCTCTGGCGCTGGGCCTTCTTCAGCTCCTTCTCGGTCTCCTTGAGCAAAGCTTTCAGGGCCTTGCGGGCCAGGTAGAGGCCATTGCTGGGCCCGTGGGCGGGCATGATGATCTGCAACACGTAAATCTCAGAGGTCTCACCGTCGATCAAGATGCTGACTTTATTCTCGTCCTTCAGCTTCACCAGCTTGGCCGGGCTTTCCTTGGTCAGAAAGTCCCAAACATGCTTATTCACGGTAAGTCTATTTTTGGTGGTGCCTCCACAAGCAGCCATCCTGGATAAAACAAAGGATACTGGAGAGAAAGAGGGAAAGCCAAAGGGGAGACCATCGTTAATGTCCCAGAAAATGGCTCCCAAAATTATTTAAAGACCGATACACAGAACCCAAATCTCTGCCCCAGCCCCCAATCTTCTGTACTCAGTTGGCCCAGAAGTCAAGGCTTTCTGTTGGTATGCTTTTAAAGTTTATACCTCTTTGCTGTGCAAACCTACAATCCCACTAGCAGACACTCAAGATACCCTTCACTCAGATTGGGTATATCCTTACTACTTAATCCAGTACTAATCCAACACTCTCTGTCAAACTCCAGGTTTATCTGAATAATCAGAAATCTAGCTAGAGAAAGGAGAACACAAGATTTCAAATGCTCAGATACCTAGGATAATGTTTCACTACTACAAAGGAGCCAGGAGGAAGAAAAAGATAAGCAAGCTTATTGGGGGCAATCCTGCTCTGAATAAACTTTGACCTTCTGAATGGTCAAACAATAGAGGTATCATCCCCCGCATTAGCAATTGCATGAAAGGCTTTTGAAAAGTAAATTGCATGCATGGGGGAAGGGGATGATCTGCATCAAGAAACAGGTCTGGAAGTGGATGGCTTTTGCCACACACACACATCTCACCCCCACCCCGCATGCCTGTTATTTGTTATTTGTCCTGAATTGTTTGTGAGACCAATTTACTTATGAATAACACAGTTGTCCCTCTCTGAGTGTGGAAACATTACCTCTGTGGACTAAAACTAGTGAAATTCCCAAGCCAGTACAACCCATAATTATGCTGGCTGCTATAATATTGGGGAGGGGGGAGGGAATACAGGCAAAAAGAAGAAGCAGCCCCATTTCAAGCTCCTACTACTTCCTTTTTTTTTTCTGCACAAACACAGACTGCACATTTCTGCATGTCCATAAAAAGGCAGGGCATTGCGCAGCAGACAACAAACAAAATCCGCTTAGTATAAAGTCACTTCCTTTTTTCACCTAGTATTATCAACTCATGGCAGCTCTCCTAGAGATAGGAGATCACTATTGTGACACTATTTTGCCCTCTCCACTCTCACAATGATGAGCTCCTGGCAGGATGAAAGGCAAACGCACCCAGGAAGGGAAGCCACATTCACCCCAACTGCCTTATCATCAGGACTTAGCTGGCCCGGAAATGCCACTTTCCCATGGACCAGAAATGGGCAATGCATGGAAGGTCCCTCTATTTGATGCCAACACTGCAACAGAGTCAATGGAGATGGGGATGGGATTAATGGGAGTTGCTATCCAAGAATGCCTTGGAGGGCCACAACTGGTGACCCCTCTTGTAAACAAACAGTTGGAAGGCAACTTAGTGCTTGAAAACATCAAGACATACAAAACAAAACACACAACTCTCCTATCTCCCTCACCCCACAGATTTATAGGATATAATTTTTTTAAAATTGCGACTTAATTATATAAAGATGATTAAGTACAAAGACATCTATTATCTTCTTAAATATATAAAGTTCTGCAAGAAGAAAGAAGGAAAAAAGAAGGGAGAGGAGAAGAAGAGCAGGCCTTTGAAACTAACGTCAGCACCCGCTGTTCTCCAAGGTTCTCTTTCTGAGCCAAAAGACTCAAGATGGAAGGTCCTTAAGGGATATTTTGGCAATCCTAAGCAGAACGTTGCAGGGTAATCATAGCCTACTAGCAACCCTTGAGGAACAGAAGATTACTTAAGAAGCAGAATTCAAAGCCTTTTGAGAGGAATAGTCTAGGAGAAGGATCCAGGGAGATTTGCAGATGGAAGCCTAATAGGGCAGAGTAGGGGGGAGAGAGAGAGAGATGCAACATAGCTAACAGACACACAACATTCCTAATTGTGTTTATCCAGAAAGAACATGCACAAGATTAGGTGAGAACTGTTACCCCACAAAGCATTTCCCAAACTACTGATAATAGGCAGGCTCTTAATCTTAACTCTCTCCCCCCACTCCACACGCAATATTCAGATCAGATCCATTTGTTGCTATTATTGTTCTACTTTATGGGAAGTGCTCTGAGCACACACCTGTTCTCATTCCAGAACTCTCTCTTAATCCTGCCATTTGGAGCATTACTACCCTGCAGTGGACAAGACAGAAAAGATGGTACATTACTTAAACAAAGCTGATATAACAAAACTCAAATAGAATCACTCTAAGAAGAGATGAAACTTGGAAGTGAAGCAGACATCAAAGACCTACTAAGCACATTTAGGCCTGGAACCTTTATGCAATATATCTATGCAGCCAGAGTATATTTACATGATGAGTACCATTATATTAGAAGCATTCTTCTGAAATAAAAGCAAATGGAATTTCCTTATAATACTAGTTCTGGCTTACCCCACAGATTCAGGATTACCATTCCAGGCACAGGAACCAGGCAGTCTGGAGTCTACTCCTCCCTCTAATTAACCAACAATAGACAAAGCCAGGCCAAGTCAGAATGAAGCCAGATGAAGCTCAGTAGATGCCATTCTTAAATCTACAAGTACAGTGGTGCCTCGCTAGATGATGATAATCCATTCCACTGAAATCGCTGTTTAGTGAAATCATTGTCTAGCGAAAAGCATTTCCCTATTAGAATGCATTGAAATCTGTTTAATGAGTTCCAATGGGGAAGAATCGTCATTGTCTAGTGAAGATGTAGTGCAGTTTGCTCCTGAGATTTCCCTAGGCCTCATTTACTATACTTAATGAAACGTCTGGAACTCTCTTCTGTATTGAATGGTTCTGGTTTTCCTGGGTTGTTTTACGATGATACTATAAATCGCTTCAGGATCTGTGTAAATGAGAAGCAGCACTAAAACTATTCTAACCCATAAATAACTTGCCAGAGCTCGGGGATCCAAAGACCTCTCACAAGTAGAGGTAAACCCTCTAGGTGTCCTTGTCAACCCCCCTTCTCATATAGAGGGCAAGTCTAAGCTGGTTTACTGAGAATTCCACTCTGTCCAGTGGGGCTGATTCTCAGGTAAGTGCACAAAGAATGAGTGAGGGCTTTTTGCAAATTCCTGTCTTCAGGATGAAAACAATGGTTTCTGGCTCTGGAGACTTCATTCATTCAACACCAACTTTCTCTCTCTCTAGATTCTAACCACCACCATCTCAAGCACAATTCTGCATCTGGTTGGTCCTAATAAAGGCAACGCCTGACCCTCTATTAATATCCATTGCTCTGAATTTTTACTGAAGGGCAGCATAGAAATTACCTGAACAGACAATAAGAGTGCCACAAACAGCATGTTCCAAAGGCTAACAGCCGTGTTCATCTAGTGCAGTAAAAACAACAACCCGTCATGGGGTATTTTTAACCCATTTTATTCCATGAGATGCTCCCAACTAAGTGAGCTACTCTGAGGAAGCATACTAAAACTGCAACATATTTATCTTTATTGCACCACAATAAACCGTGAGAGTGGACTACTTACAATATTGTGGAACATAAGGAAGAGTCCATATACCTCTGGTGGAAGTGTGATACAAGTATGAATCTATAGAAAGTGTGATCTCAATTGTTACGATTTGAAGAAGCTGATACCCAGTGGGGCTAATCCAGTTCAGCTCACTACAGCAGACTTTGGAAAAGTACCCGTTTTGGATTACAACTGCCAGCACGCAACATGTTTACTGGGAGCCGAAAATGGGAAGCGTTCAAGGCTTTGCTCTAGTCTAGAGACTATCGGTTGCATGGGTTTATATTTAAAACAAAAAAACCCCGCTAACCTTTAATTTTATAGTGCCAGTAATTGTACAGTCTTTTGCATGTGCCTTGGAATTCTGGGGCCCCAATCAAGGCATTTAAAGAGAGAAATCCCTGCAGCAACTAGCAATGATCACTGGCTAGCTGAAACCAATGGCTGTGAAGAGGTTTCTCCCTCCTCCTCCTGAGCCACAGGAAAATGAGAAATCTTTTGCTCCTAAAAACAAACACGCTTTCACAAAAGAATAGCCTGTTGGCCAATTAAAAGTCAAAAGGACAGGGTCCCTTCCAGCTCTACCGTTCGATGACGGTGAAGACGATGGTGAGGATGATGATCCCTTCCCGGCATCCCACAGCTATGCCAACAGGTTCAAGGCTACGTGGAAAAGGAGACCGGCCTTTAGGAAGGAAGAGTTCCCTGGATCCTGCGCCACCTCCCTCGGCTCGGAAAGGTAACGCGGGAGGGACCTCGGAGGGGAGAGGGAGACACGAGATGCCTGCCTTTGCGTCAAGGCCGCGGCCAGGAAGCCCATCTCCCAAGGGCGACAGCCGAGCAAAATAAAGGGTTTTCTGCCCCGCTCTCGCGATCCGAATGGAAAGAGAGAGAGAGAAGAATCTACGCCCGCCCACCGCCACACACACCCTGGTGCCACCGGCGCAGGAGCACGGAGAACAGGAGACGCAACCGGGGCAACCCCCCCCTCACCTTCCCGCCTCCTCCCCGCCGATGGCGAGCGCGCCCCGCGGCCGCAATACCGTACCTGGCGAGCCCATGGGAGAGGCTGAGAGCGAGGAGGACCGGCCGGATGTGGGAGTTCAACGGCGGGGCGAATCAGGAACTGCGAACGGGAAAAGAAAGGGCGGGTTAGGTCGCGGCTGCTGCGCCAAAAGGGGGGGGGAAGCGGCGGAGGCGCAGCTGCCTCTTGCGCCAGGGCGCAGCGCTCCACCCAGCAAGGGGGGCTCCTCTCGGCTGGCGCGCCA